GACACAGACCACAGAAAAACTTTTCATCTTCCTGACTAAATGGTATTTTATAATAAAAGCTTTTCTGAAGATGCAAATAAAACTAGAACATGGCTTTATTTCCCACTAGAACATGGCTTTATTTCCCACTTCTACCAGCATTGCATTGGAAGGGATGCACTGAAAGGATGCAGTGCCCATTCCTACGGCACTGAAAGTTAGAAATTTTGAATCTAGACTTATATAGTCCCCAAAAGGTACGAGATAATATGAGAAAAATTAACCCACATATGTCTGTATCAATGTGAATATGAACAGAGATTTCCTCTAGTTGCAACTAGGAAATGCGGCAATGTTCCCCAGGTGCTCTTTGCTACCAGTGCTGAAGGTTATCAAACGCCAGCTCACAGAGCTTAATATTCCATAATTCACTTAAAGGCAAAATCCAGGTGCAATCACACTGGCAACTCATATTGTTTGTGATAATGTGGTGGATCCTGTACGTATCAAATGAGGGATTTATCACCCAGAGCCAGAAAAGGAATAGCTGGGTGGGAGCTCTGATGGGATGGTACAAGAAGCAGATGGAAACAACAGCCACATTCAGCAGCCAAGCATGGAGATCTGTCAGGGGCTGTGTAAGCACAAGAGCAAACTGCTGTGTTTCACTGGCACCTCTAATGCTGCAGGACAGGCTTTCACAATCCAACTCTCATGGAAAATGAAAAAGCAAAAGTAAAAAGAAATATGTTGTCACATATTTTTCCAAGGCAAACCAGACTAGAGTTAGAAGAACAAAAAAAAAAAAAAAAAAAAAAAAAAAAAAAAAAAAAAAAAAAAAAAAAAAAAAAAAAAAAAAAAAAAAAAACAACAAAAAAAAAAAAAAAACCCAAAAAAAAACCCCTCTCCTTAAAAATCCTTCTACTCTTCTTTATTTATCCTGCAGAGGATTCATAATCCTGCAACTGATGAAACCATAGCATGTTACCTTGGTAACTGTAACTGAAATTCAGTCTTTAGAATGCACTCAAAGGTCAGACTGCATAAAAAGTTAAGGCTAAGGAAGGTATAATTCACACTGAAAGGCAGAGTATGGGAGAAAAGAAGTGCTTCAATATTTCCAATTACAAGATTCCAAACAACAAATATAAACATTTTTGGAAAAAAAAAGAGTAAGATCACACAATGCCACAGTCACTGAGACTGCAAATATAAACCCACTTTATATACTTTTTATACTTTTCTAAGTTACAACGACATCTATATTTATATGAAGATGCTACTGCATCAAATTATTGTCATAGCATTTTCTACCATCCAAAATGAACAAGTGTTCATTTTGTGAAAGGTTTTTCATTGCTATATGCTACAAAAAAACTAGTCAGATTCACTAAATAAGCAAAAAGTTAATCCCATACTTCCAAGGCATATTTTGTGACGTTTTTGTTCAAAACTCTGTATTCTTTCTTCTCACAAAAGCAGCCCAATTTCTCTGAGGATTAACTAAAGCAGTTTCAGACTCAAAGATCAATCTGTGCCCATACATTTGCTGCATTAATTAAATACATTATGCTCAAATACACTCAAATTATGTATAATATATAAGCAAGCTTTCCATTTATGTCACATTTGTGAATTTTAAGTAGCACAAAAGTCTGTAATTTTATCTGAAATTTAGCTATGTGTGCACACCATGTGATTTTGTATCTAGGAAAATGCTGTGAACTCACAACCAGGCTTCAAGGTTAAAACAATGCAGAATTAAGGGCAAATGTGTAACTGTAAACTTGGAATCTCAACCTCTGTGTAGGTGCTCCCTTAGGGTTTCATGTTAAATTTCAGAGAGGGAGATGCAGAGAAAAACATCTAAACCCACACTCTCATAGAGAAGTCAAGCATGAAAAATTCTGGCCCCAAAGTTTTGAAAATCAGTAGGGAACCAACTTTAGCATACACCTTAGTAGCTCTTCAGAAAGCTCCATCTTTCAAGTTAGTCCTATAAAAGAAAGAAATTTTAAAACAACTCCATCTCTGTAGGACCTTGAAAGTGTTATAAACTGTCCAAAGCATTCCTAAAATGATGTCTTACTCAAAAAGAACATGAAAACACAGCAGTCTGCCCTACAAATCTCTGCAGTTCTCATGTGAGGGAGTGTTACAGAACTTTGAGGACAACTCAAAAAAAACACTGACTGCTCTCACTGATGAAACACGGATGGCTCTGAAATGAAGGAAAAAGGAAGAATTTATTCCAGCATCATAGCACTTGGATATTTTTTGTGTCCTTGGCCCACTAGCTCCAGAAGACAACTTCTCAGCTGGATGAAACTCATCTCTAATTTTCTAAACATTACTGTTATCATTATTGCTAAGCAAGAACCACCTTTAATTCTACTTGATGGCTGCTTATTATAGTATTTAAAATGATGTAACTTTCCTTTTCTTCTTTTTTTTCTGGCTTGTGACCTAAAAGGTCTAACCAGTCAGTATGCCATTTGCCTGTGTAGGGCGTGAGCCTGAATCAAAGCTATGAGCACACTAGAATTAAAGACTCAAATGAACTGCTTAAATCCTTAACACAGCATATAGCAGTGGAGATGTTCAGGGGGTTGAAGAGAGAGAAGGAAATTATGTAAAAGTTCATGCTGGCATGAAATAGGCATATCAGAAAGCATTCCAAAATAATTATCCTAATTCATACCTTTTTTTTTCAGATAGAGGATGGAGGTCTGGAAATCAGAGCTTTTGTTCCACAACTATGAAATACAGACAAAACCCACAACATGTATGTCAATGCATACACACACAAATGCACTGCAGTCATTTGGAGGAAAGTTTGGGAGAAAGTATACTACTACCACTTTACCTGCAAAATTTTTCTGTAAGACATGCTGGACTTCTAACAATAGCACCAAAGCCTGTTAGCAACATGGGATAAAGGAGGGAGTTAGGAACAAGAACGATATTCAGTTTTTCTCTTTTAATCACAATGAACATCCTTGGGTTCACTATCTAATGTTTCTTTCAAGTTCAAAACTACATCTACCTAGCTGTTAAATATTTGTACCTTCTCTGAGGAAGGCAGGAAAAGTATAGAAAGCTGTGTTGATATTTTTCACCTGCAAGCCTTCACTAGAGAACAGAGATTATATCACCTTCCTCTCCAACATTACATGCCTGGTAGACAGCAACTTAGAGATCCAAACAGACAAGGAATAAGTTGCTCTCTGGACTAATGATACAAAATCAAGTCCAACACATCTTGCCTGAAAACAAGGATTCCAGGACTCCAGCACAAACCTCTCATACTGGTAAAATGTAGATGTTACAGCTGCATTAAAAATCAATACTACAACCAGAATTCACAGAACTTGCCAGTACTACACAAATGACGAAAATCTAAAAAAGTAATTTTAATTCTTGTTATGTAAGAAAGAAATTACAACTGAGTACTGATAACTTTAAAACTCTTTATATAAAATGATATAATTAAATTCTGTGGAGAACATGTAAGGGAAGATACAGGATAAAATGCACAATGAAAAAAAAAAGAAAGTCAAAACTCTACAAAGTTCCATAAAAATAAAGTAGCTGTGCTGGTTTGTTGTTTTATATGGGGAGTTGTTTAATTTAGCTGAAGAGTGGCACAAAGGTTAACTCTGATTTCCTTGCATTAGGACTACCACCACTGTCACTAGAGATCTGTTTCATTTGTTGCAATACACTTTTGGACTACAAAGTCTCATCAGACTTATTTGTGGGAATCCAGAGCTTCTTCCCTCTGGCTGCCCTGGAAGTCCTGGGACCCTGGCAGGGGGTCAGGAACCCCCCTGGACAGAGCCCCCAGAGACACTGTCTGTGATCTCTGTCCATGGAAAAGAGTTTTCAATCTTACAGGATGGATTACCAGCTCTGAGTGTTTGATATAAGTAATAATTAAGTGTGGCATGGGTGCAAAAGTAAAATTTTAGGATTCTAGATTAGGGGTCCAAAGGGCACAAGATGGAGGAAATTGGGTGTGTCTTGTCCTTTTCCTCCTTCTTCATGCCCTCCATGTTTCACTGTGGTGTTGGCATTTTTCTGTTGGTTCAGGCTGGGGACACACTGTCCAACGTAGGTGACAGATATTGGCACATTATTGTAAATACAGCCCAGGGAGTTTCTGGTATTTAATGTTTGTAACATCCCACTGAGGGCAGAGCCCCACACGCTGCCCTGCAGGACAGAGCTGAGGCAGGGCAGCAGAACATGTTAGAGATAAACAGAATAAACAACCTTGGAACCAGCACAGACCAATTACGGTTTCTTCTTTGGCAGCGGGGCAGAAAGACAGAGACTTTCCACAATCTCAGAATCATCAATACCACAGATTCCAACACTTATTAAGCAGGTCTTATCTATGCATCAAGAATGCAAACATGAATAAGCCATAGGAGAAGATCAGAAGAAGATCAGAAAGAGGAGACCAGAAGGTGACAAAGACCCACCATGGACAAAATTTTCTTTACATCATCCCATGGAATTATTCCACTTAACCTTTTGACAGAGGCTGGCAAGTATATCCAGGTAAACATGAATTTTATCAAATTAGAAAATAAAAATCAGTATATCACCTCAGAAAAGTGGAAGCATTTGCAGGAGAATTACACTGATACAGAATGCTCACCTTTGCTTACAAGTTTTCTGTGGGGTAAGACACAGTCTAATTTTTTTTCCTCAAAATACTAGATGCAAGTAAAATCAAAAGTAAATTAAATTACATCAGCCCACAAAAAGAAAACATTGTGGTTTCAAAAGGTTTGCACTCGAGCACAAACAACTGAGCATGGCAAGCAGTCTGAGCACACATTACAGCTATACTTTGATAAATAACCTTCCTATAAGTGTGCAAAACCTTGCTATTAGCACTACCATCAAAGATATGATGAAGTCTTCTCTAGATGACTTTTCTGTAGCTGTGTAATTTTTTATTTACTCTTGTCAATTATTAAAAAATGAAAATTGGGGGGGGGGTTGCTTACCTCCTGTATGCAACACCTTGCAATCTGCTGCTGAAGGCTCATTTTCACCCTCTTTAATGCGGCTCATGTTGTCTTTTTCAAGCAGTCTGTCCACCAGGGCAATAAGGCAGTTCAAACTCTTTGCCACATTGGCCCACACCCTGTCCTGAAAAGAGCAGAATTATCACTGCATGTCACTGAAGAATTAAAAAATAAAAAAATAGAGGCAATAGTAACTTATTAACCCCTGAAGTTGCGACAGACATGCAAATTACTAGAAATATTAGATGCCAGCATATGACTGTTCCTCTCATCCTTCAGCCTATTACCAACTTGAGCCTTTTTCAAAGAGATTTTACTTGCAGTGTAAAGGAACCCAAACTCTTATGGTTTTAGACACTGGAGAACAAGTGCTTCAAACCTGACATAAAAAGGCAGACAAAGTTTCAGGTCTATTAGCAAGGAACTGAACAGCTTCTCTATTTAAATGATTAAGAGTATGGACACACTCAAAGCCTGGCCAAATCAAACCTTGTGTATGTCAGTTTTGTCACAGTACTTCATAACCTCTTTCTGATAATTTAACATATCCTATATTTTATCACATCAGTTACTCTGCTGAAGTAAATGTTAAATTCGAGAACTAGAATGAGAAACTTGCTGTCATGGCATATTTATTTGGTAACACCATTTCAGTTTCATTCCTCACCTCTCACATAAACTGCAACCATCACACTTATCTGAGCTTGTAAGAGAATGACACAAGTAATAGAGTGGTAGAAAAAATTCTGTATGAGCAGAGAACAAAAGAAATCATATGGAGCATAAGAAAGAGCTGTTATGGAACAGAGATATAGGGAGGGTCCTTCAGGTGCTGGATTCTGCAGAAATCAAAACTTTTGCACCTATTTTGCAGCAGAAGGAAAAAAACCAAGCCATACAAGAAATGAGACAAGACATGCAATCAGACTAAAACCAAACCATAACAAACCCACAGAAACCACCCCAAGTACATGTTTCAATGCTGAGTCATTCTGAAAATAATGCAGAGCAACCAGAGTTTGCTTCAGAGTTAAAAATAGGAATCACTACTTCATTTTGTACTTTACAGTGCCAGAAGTATTATGTATTTGTCTGGTCTTCAGGCGCAAAAATGAAGTTGCAAAAATGACGAGAGAAGTTAAAGAAAACTGAGAATTCAGAGAAATACCATAGTTCCATATAAATGACAACCCTTGGATTTTGAGTGAAGGCAAATTTAGAACTAATACTAAGGCAAACATTTAAATCTAATGTTACTTTTCAACTATATGCCACACTTCAGCCTGACTATCTTTCCCTGTTCCCTCCTGTTGAGGACACATCCTGTGAAAAGTGGCATCCTGACCTAAGAGATATCACATGGGCTCACAGAGAGAAGCATGGACAACAACCTGTACAACAACCTGTACAACAGAGTTCCTCTCCTCCAGCTCCCCAAACCTGATTCCTGGAGCATTCCTGCGGGCAGCCTTAATGACAAGTGAGCATCCAGTTTATAAGTGAACATAGAAACAATGGTTTTATTTTCTCCCTAGATAAACCTGCTTTAATCATACTATGAAAAAGATACTGTTAATTGCAAGAGGCAAGACGTTGGTCACATCCAAGCAGAACTGCATTTATTCCACAACTGTTTAAAGTGCTGCATGTACAATGCAATATGTGGTAATATCTGCACCTGTACATGAAATAAAACATTAGACACATGAATATTTGATATTCACATACACTTAGATACAATTAAAATTCAAAAGACAGAGGGCAGGTATAGATTCCTTCAAAAGTTTCCTCCTTTATGCACCTCAAGCAATCCTGAAAAAACATTTAGAATATGTGTGAAACGACTGATTTTTATCACCCACAAGTATAATTTTGGGGAGAAGGATTCTATGAAGAATCCTCTAGAGAGTATCAGCAAGCTTCAGAGCTTCCAGTCACTGAAGTTGCTGAGGAATATGCAACTGAAGTTGCTCAGAGAGGCTGCAGCAATCTAATTTCCCTTTCCTTTGTCCCTTTCCCCCTTTGCAGGGAGCTTAATCTTCACACAAAAAAGCATCAAGCTTTTAATGAGCATCTGGAGTTATTGCACGAGCAACACAAATATGAGCCTTTGTTTCACTTTAGAAAGAGCACTTTTCTCTTTTCAAACCAACTATTAAGCCAGCATTGAGATGATGTCTATGCAATATCCCCAGAAACATTCCCTGAGGGGTTAGAAGCAAAATTCATAAACATCTGTTGACAGAAAGCTCACTCTTATTATCATGTATCTGGCTTTTTTATATACAAACAACTGAGAGGGAGCAAGGGCCTGTCTCACAGCTCTTTCTTTCCACATAGGAGGCTCCTGGGATTGTGGGCAGATAGAAAGTGTAGACGTATCTATCATTCATCGAGATAATATTCTGTCTGCACCAAAGGCAGTCACATTTATCTAAGAAGGCTGTTGAAATTCCGTAGTTTGGCAGGAACAATTTTCAAGTAAAAATGCAGTTTCCAATCAGTGTAAATAAAGTGGCTTTCTATGACTCTCCATGAGAAGAAATGAATCCACTTCATACTGTCATCCTTTACTATTTCCAGAATATTTTCCTGTAGCCTAGTACACTTTCCACTGACCTTTCATCTTCTTAAGCAGTCTATTTTCAATTTGCCTACGAACAACCTCACAAGTGCTCACTTTATAGCATGTGCCAGGTTAAAGGAGAAAATACAGCCTAGCAGCCTCTTAAGTAAGCATTCTTATAAACCCTCTGTGTCAAGTAAGGGACCAGGAGTAATATTTCTTGATACACTGAATACTAACACCCTAGTTTTCTAAGCAGGATACTTTTCCCCTGATCACAGGTTTCTGACTAGTTGCTGGAGCAATGTGGATGGTAAGTTTGTGGTATGGAAGAATGAAAGAAACACAATCTCTGTCTCCCTCTTGTTACTGCTTCTTTAAGTCAAGGCAATGACAGGTAAGGTGGAAATCTGTAACAGGACTTGACCCCATTGAGACAAGGCAGTGCCACATTTACATCTTATACTTCTCCCAAACTTCAGAAGTCATCTGCAATGTTATGGAGCCCTGGCTCATGCAGTTAGGTGTGGCTAGTTAAAAATGACCATGGGTCACATTTCTATGCTGTGGCACTGGCAAGCAGACATGGACACTGAAAGACCTCCATGGAAAGGTAGGCTTTGGCATCAGTGAAAGCTGGGCAGTTCTCCTAGGAGAATTAAAAATTAATCTGTAAAATAATGCTCTTTTATTCATCCAACTGAAAAATATGTTATTATTTTCCATATGATTGGAAATTATCATTAAAAAGCAGGACAGCTTCCTCATTTCAGGAAGCAGCAATGGATACTATTTTCTGTCACTACACCTAACTGTATGTCTTCCTTCTAAACACTGCCAGCCAGTGGAGTCCCAGAGGCTGTCTCTTTGTTTTTAAAGGATTCTCAGAATTTCTGAATTCACCACAGAGCTCCTCAGTCATTTCTTGTCCCTCCATATACACCACTGCAGTTGTGTGCTTTACTTGGGCCATGTATGACACAGCATCTGCTCTTCCCAGCGCTCTGAGATACTGTTATTTCCTTCATGTCAGTGGATATTCAGATATTTCCTTAAGGTTCTTTTGAGCTCTGTTCAGAGATAAAGGAAATATCTTAAGTAATGTGCATGATTAACACTCCCTCGTGCTGTGGCACATGGAATGGGTCACACACATGTTGGTTCTTCAGCCCCACGACTGATCACCACATCAGCATTCGTACACAGCTTATTGAAAATGCCATTTTATCTGTTCTTTGTAGCTCCAGCCCCATTAACCAGTCAGAAGTGTAGACCAGAGTCAGCTCCAAGCAGCAATATGCCCACCTTTTCTTGTATCACATGAAAACTTACTATGTGCCCCCCTGCAGGAAGGTTCTAGGCTAGCAGAAGTGCTGGTGAGAGGAGAAGATAATATCTTTCCAGAGACAATGTAAAACTCTCAAGTAAAACTCTCAAATTTCCAATTGAAAAATATTTTTGCTTTGGCAGTGATGCTTTCCTGCTGCCTGTGCACAGTGCACCAATATAAATAGCTCAATCCATACTGCCGCCAGTGACTCTGGGATGAGTCTTCATACTTCTGTGATGGTCATAAGGTAACACAGTCATGTGAAGTGAATGGAGCAGGATCAGCTTAAAGAGTTGTTTAAGGATTTAGATTTCAGGCAAAACCAAATTTCCAATTGCAAAATGTAACATTAGTATTTGATAATATTGAGGAAAAAACCCACAACAGGAAAGGAACATTGTGCATACAAAGCAACATATATTGAAGTTTTTTCCTTTACAGTTGAGTTTCACAGTAGATTAAGTGTTTTTTTTCAAATTTTATATCCATTTATTGTCTTTCCATCATGCTAATAACAATTGATTATTAAAACTCACATTATTTATCACCTCTACTGATGGAAATAACTGAAATCTATCCAAAATCTAATCATTCCATTCAGAAAAAATCACAATATTTCTGCAGAATTTATACTGCCTCAAGTTTGACAATGCCAATGACTCAGTTCAATTCAGAGAACAGTGGAAGATGCAATTAATTTTGAATCAAGATAATCTTACTAATTCAGCAGACAAAAATAAATACTGTTTAAACCAACCCACTTATGCAGTTTAATAGGTGAGGATCAAACACCTGGTAACTTTTTTTTTATCAGTTATGAAATACAGCAAAGCTATCTTCTTTTCAGAGATGCTAAATTTCAGTACTAAATTAAAATACAGCTTTAAAGTGCTGCTTTATCCAGAGCAAAATTTCTCTCTTTTACAAAAATGATTGTGTTATTTATATTTCTGAATGTTTCAACAGCGGAAAACAAACATTTGGGCTTTATTTCAAGGAAAGAATCACCATTCCAGCCCCTCAGGTTGTTGAGAAAACAAGAAAAAGTGAATTAAAGGCTCTAAAACCAGAGGACAAATAAAATGATGAGTTATTTATTGTTTAAATCTAATGACTACTTAATGCATGGGGCTAGAATGGGAAATAATTGCCCTTCTTCTAGAAGAAATGTATTCTTCTTCCTTTATTTTTGGTGTGGATAAAAATTACAGTTCAGGTGCAATACCATAGCTCATATAAGTTATTAATTATTTACAATAGAGATGAATATGCTGGCATCCTTTACGTTTATGAGAATACAGTGATGAATTCAAAGTATGAGCCTGGACTGAATAAAAATAGCTTGAGTACGTATGAAATAAAGTAACAGATCTATTATGAAGACATCTACCAAAATAATTGATTTATAAAATCTCAGCCATATAAATAATACATATCCTTGAAAGATATGCCAAGAATGTTAAAATTTAAAAGTTGTATTTAATTCTTTTACACTACCTCAGACACTCTTCTCTAAGAACAGAGTCTAAGGGCAAAGGGCTCTGTTTGGCTGAGGGTTAATTCACGTGTGTTTAAAATGGTTACAGCCTGAGGGCTGTAGAGGGGTGTTGCACGGGGTGGGGAAGAAAAGAACATTTCCCTCAGAACAGCATAGGCTGCTTCATTCCTTAAATCTGCCCAACTAGCAAAACCAACCCAAGTAAGAACAAAGACTATTTTTCTGTCTGGTCAAGAAGATACTCCACATCTTCACTGTTATATGCATAAGCAGGCAGTCTCAGAGCAGCACACTGTACTTAGGACAATCCTTTAAATTTAGCTTCAAAATCTGCAATGCATCTGAAAAACACAGTTTTACAGTTTTGCACCCCTTTCCCCCCTGCAATGACATGTGACAAGGACGCTCAGGGCTTGAGCTTGTTTTTGCCGATTTGTAGGGTCTTGCATTGAACACGGACCAAGGGTTTCTGGCTACTTACCCACTCTTCCTCATCATACTCAGAATGATGGGGTATAGAGTCCTGCCTTTTAATCTGAGAAGGATGATCCTGGTGCTGTGCATCAGCCCCTTCTTCTACACTCTTTCTAGGCACAGCTGGGTTCTTGAGGACACAGCCAGGCCGGGCTGTGTACAGTGCTAAAAGGGCACTTCTGACCAGCTGGTCCTTGAATGTGTGCACAAATAATTCTGTCTAGAAAAAAAAAACAAACTAATGAAAAGGTTAGACCAAAGAACACAGTACTGCAGCAAAGGTGTATAACACTGAATTACTCTAAGGCAGAGCAGGAATTTGTTTCAGGCCTGACTGGGAGGCAGAAAACAAAGTAGGCCAACAAATAATGAGGAAAATTTCAAGGATTTAAGAGATATCATCACATTCTACAATCCCAGTGTTATAAGGATTAGCACAAGAGTACATTATCTGTCACAGAGATCATAATGTTTTCACATTTATTCAAATTCCAAATTTTGCCTCAGAGGCAAGCCTCAACAAGAACCAGTTCCAAGAGCAACCAACCACAGCACAATAATTTCTGAATAAGTGTTAGATAAAACACAATTAACCAGTTTAAACATCTCCCTAAATAAAACCCACCACACTACGTTGCTGAAATAGCAGTATCTGCAAAAGCAGTGTTTTCAGAGATAAATTACCGGTAGGTATCAACCTAGATATCCCGGTAGGCAACACCTGATTTCAAGCTTGATTTTATGTATATTTCAAAGAAAGGAAATTCTGAAGTGGTTTTCCCAGTTCTTCTGAAGATGGTATTCAATCTCTGTATCATTTTTTTATGTTGGCTCTTACAATTGGAATATTATCATACTTTTAAAATCCTTCAAACTCTCTGCATTATTCATCTCCCTTCCACCTCAACAAGAAAAGTAAAATGCTTTCTTTATATGGGCTTCACCATGTCCAGATTGTCACCATTGCAACAGCACTTCTTGTTGACACCAGTGTGTCAAACATGCCTATCTCCTTTGTCTCAAACACGGTGCCCTGTCTCCATTGGGAGACTTGGCTGATTCCCTCCATCAGCTGCCAAAACCTATGGAACAGGAGAACATGAGGTGCAAGGACACTACAGGGTGCAACAACAAACAAAGCCACAGGGACAGCTTGGAAGAGTCCCAATTTTGGTTCCTTCAACAACATTGAACAGGGTTCATCTGTCAGAGCAAGGAGAGAGGGCACACCCTGCTGCCATAGAACATCCCACACATCCCACCCAGAGCTCCCCTCCCCAAAGAGAGGTACTGGTTCACAGGGGATGATGAAAATTTATTTCACAGCACAATTACCTGAATTTATATATCCCAGGTAAGTGGAATTTTATTTATCCCAGATCAGTGGGATTTAGTTCACTTATTATTATCCCAGAACATAGTGGATTGTCATGTGCAGGCAGATTCAGGTGCTGAAGTGCCTTTGTGCACACAATCTTAATTAAGCAGGGATGTGGAAAGGTATGTAGATAAGAGTCAGAGGATCCAGCCTAAACCAGCAGGAAATGCTAAAAATAAGGGTAGCCCAGCCAAGCTCTATTCAGCCCTTATGTCCTGCTTATGGAAAAGCTGGAGAAAAAGTAGCAAAAAAAAAACCCAAACCAAACAAGTGTCAAGTGTCAGCATCTCCCTGGAATTCCTGAGAAGACTCCTGTAAGTGTTTTCTCCCAGTTTCTGCACTTCTATTCTTATCCTATCCCTTTTTCATACTACCTGTTCATCTTTTGTATGCATCCACTACTACTCAACTTCTTTTTCTTGCCTTCCTGTCTCAATACCCTCTCAAAAGTTTATGGATATTTAAGACAAAAAGGCTCTAAAAAATTGATGGTTTTCTTAAGGCTCCAGCTGCTGGGTTAGGTACTTGAATGAGAAGTTTCTGCTTTTTCCCATTTTCATTATGTTTAGGAAAAAATATTTTCTGAATAGTTTCAAATGGAAAGGCTGAAAATATTACTGCAAATAAGTATCTACAGTTCTAAAAATAAGAACCTCAGGAATATCTAAGAAAAATTATTGATTTTTTTTAAACCAAAATCAGACCTGACTTGGAATTCTTTAGATTTGGCAACACTACTCATCTCCCTGGCAATATTACCAGACCCATTCCTTCTCCTCCTCACCAATTTGGTGCCTGAGGGAAAGGGTGTTTTTAACAGTTTTCTTTTATGCAGCTCCTCAGGACTGTCTCCTTGTAGTCCTGAATTGCTCTGCAGGACAATTTCAATTTTCTACATTTCCAACCTCCAGATGGTGCATGCTTGGAGAATGAATTAGTCTTTGGGGAATAGTACTATCAAACCCTACCATTCTTTGCCTTACCATGGCACAATGAGATTTGAGGGGTTGTGTGGTAAGAGTAAAGCTCCTCTTCTTCAAGACTCTTACAGTTCACTCCTACCAAGAGAGTTGAAACTCCATTACTTGCCTATCCTTAAAAACAGCAATATCATGGTTTTGCTGAAGTTTCATACCTATCTTCCCCACAATGTCTGTTTGAGATCATTTCAGGTCTCTGGTTCAGCATGGCAGACTCAAAAAAAGTTTACATTTCAGAAAATTAAGAGTATTGGATAACTTGATCTAAAGAATGTCCACTATGGCTGTGGTATTCACATGCCATCTGAACAGAGAGAGACATAGCTTTCTCAGGATTTCTCCTGAGAGAAGATGTGAGAGAAGCAGAGGAAAGAAAATCAAAACAATTCTTATCTCATTTGGTGCGCCTGTGTTTGTGCATATGTGAAATGTGTTATGGAGATTGTTTACCCAAGGGGATTGCTTGATTGGATTCTGGTGATGATCTTTTGGATGGATTGACCAATTAGGTCACAGCTGTGTTGGGACTTGGCCGAGAGAGCCACAGGTTTTCTAGTTAGTGATATAGTTATTATTAGTGTAATATAGTTTTAGTATATTATAGTAAAAGAAAGTAATTAATTAGCCTTCTGAAATCACTGAAGTCATAGCACATCATTCTTCCTGCTGGTCGGACACCACGTTTACTATATATGACTGCGATGTTTAAGTAATATAATTAAATAGAAATATTTTATAGGGAAATTTAGTTTTTATAGAAAATCAGTACAGAAGTGAGACTCCATTCTTTCTTTCAGAAACTAAAATGATCTTGTAATTAAATTCCATTCAGGGAACCCATTGGTTTAACAGCAGTCTACATTTTAACCTCACTTTCTAACAGCTCAGTACAGCTAAATTTGCAGAACACCACTATTTATGAAATTGCACCGAAATCACAGAAAACCAATCTATACAAAGAAGTAAAAACTGCAAATTCTTTTAGATACTCTACTAAAGAATATTTCTGCAAACAAAGGCATAACTGGAAAATGAATTTATCAAGCCTTCTGCAAGCTGCAAATGCTGATAGCTAAATGTGGATAGCTAAAGGCTTCCTTAATCAATTAACGAAAAGTAACAATAAAAGGTTAGTCTCAGGAAAATACTACAGTAAATTGTAAATTATATATAGAGATGTAAAGCCATGCCTACCTAATATGAGAAAATAAGCTCCATTTAAGAAGCAGCAGTGGAATGATTTGATTTAATTTTCCACTTTCAATCCATGCAGCCAGTCCTTCCATTTTCAACATGAAGACTTAAATGTAATTGACATTATTGAAAACTCAGATTTACTCACTGCTACCTAATAATTATAGAAAGAATTATTACATATATCAAGTGATAAGTTTTTTAATAAATGTGCAGAATTTAATCACCAGGCAAATAATTTTTATGACTTCTTCAAACAGCTGTTTAATTTCTGAATTCCTATCAAGTTAAAACATAAGAGCATTTATGTTTTACATATAAAAAGTGTAGGAAAGATGGAATAGCAGAAGCACTATATATGCCTCAGGAATACAAGTAGGTATAATGTAATTATATTCAGCAGAGTATGTGCTACTCTGCTTAAATATAAGCAGGAACACTTTGGTAGTCTTGGTTCTCCAGTACTGTACCAGACTATACAGACAGAATATTGTAAGACAGCAATAAAAGACTTTTGAATTAACTATGAGGGATCTAATTTCAGTATTGTGTGAGTTCACTGAGCTTAGTGCTTTGAAATTATATTTCCCTTTCCTGAAGTTGTTTCTCGGTCTTTCCTCCCCATCTCTCTTCCCCTCTTTACAAGCAGCTGTCCCACCACACTTGCATCCTCAGAAATCCACCCTATTTTTCTATTCATCTTTCCTAAGAGTAAATTTGGTAATAGACAGGGAAGCAAGTATTGAACCACTCCTGCAGCAGTTGTTAAAACAACTGCATTTATCTCTTCCAAGCAAAAGGTGAAGGCTAGACAGACATCCACGGAGTCTGTCTGGGGTGAGACTCCTTCTTCTGGGAACCTGAGCTCATGTACTAACAGCAATTTAATCCTGGTCCTGAAAAGTTGATATGAACGTACACAACTAAGTCACCAGCTATAAATGTAAAATACCTAGGACTTTTACAAACTGAATGAATTCTCTATTTTGACCCTTTTCTATAGCCAGAGTCTCCAGCAGGCCACAGTTCAAGCAGTGCTTTAGTACTATGGCATCCTGCAGCCCCTCTGAAATTATCCCTTCCTCCTGTCAGATGCAAATGGCCAGAGGAAACACACATTCCTTAGCAACCACCCTTTGGATCTTCAGAACAGACACTTCTTTGTCTGATTTGCTTTACCTGTGCATACAGATTTCTTTGAACTAACCTCAACAGAGCAGCTTCCCTTGTTCTATGCACAGCTAAAAATGCCCTCATACATGCAAAGGTACATTATAACTGCTACAACCCTCCTCCTTAAATTCCTCTGTTTGATTTCTAGGTTGAATTCTGCTTTCCTCCATTATCCCTGATATTCACAGTGACTCCAGCGTTCTCAGAGTTACTGTGGACTTACACATCTGCAACTGAGAGCAATGTTTTCCTCCCCCACAGCTCCTCTGCAATGCCTTCACAGCAAGTGGCCGAGCTCAATATTCAGATTTGAAACTCTGCTATTGAATGAGGAACTGCTGGGGTAATGGTGCTCAACAGACCAAAAAGGCTGTCACTTCTCAATAGCTGAAGATATATTGAAATGGTTATTGATCGTGTTATTAAGCCACACTAGGATTACATTAGTGAAGGGGTGGCCCATGCAGAAATGGAAAACTCTTCACAACCTCTCTGGTCGCAGCTATAGCGCTTCATATTTTTATAGGATAACATATGCTGGGAAGTACTACAGGCTTCAGCTAATCTCCATTATCAGTCTGTGAGACCAGCGGGAAATATTATCTTCTCTAATTTAGAATGAAAGGAACTAAAATGTAGAAGAGCCTACAGCTACAGATGGATATAAAAGGAGAAAGAGAATTAAAATTTGAGATCTTCTAGAGCAAATTTCCCAGCTTCTCCTTCTAGGATGCATCACCATTTCTGATCATGCTGTTATTCTAAACCTTATACACCAACCTGGCTTGAACCACCTCCCATAAGCAACAGCTTGAAATATAATAGAAAGATAGTGAAAATTATTTATAATAATTATTTATTTTTGATATTTTGAATAAACTCCAGTATGTGGCCACTGGAGGATAAAGAAGATATATGAAATTAAATTAATTACAATTTTAAATAAAGGCAATCTTTATAGATTTCAATAATTTTCTACATGGAAAGCCTACAGAAATGCTAAATAACATTATTTTTGTAATAACAACATTTTGATACTTATTTTAGCTGAGCTTATTTAACATTTCCTGATGCTGTAAAAGTCAATTTAAGCAGCAACCCCCCTTCCTTCCCAGCAGTTAGAGAGACTTGCTTATTTCATTTTCCATTGCAGTGAGGATTTGAATCTTACTTTTTCTGAAAGCATCTTTAAAGAATTCTTCAAGCTGTCTGGAGAACGTTGGCTTGCAGAACTAAGCAGCAGGTCTGCATGGCTTGATATGAGAGGTTGCAGATGACTGATGTTGCTGAGAACTTCTTTTGCCTTGGCTGTGTTTTCAGGTGAATAGTAAATACACTGGTATCCAGTACTGTGATAACAGAGAGTCACATAATGTCAAATTTCAACATTAATTTCTGACATTTTTAGCAATGTTTATGGTGCTAAAAATCTTACCACTACTTTTGCAAAAAAAAAAAAAAGCCATATGCCTGAACTTCATGGACACCATTGAAATGCACCTGCCTTTAAGAGTAAAAACAAACCTTTCCTTGAACAGGAGCATAAAACAGACTGCCCACCACCACATGCTCCAAGTAATACAATACAAAATTCCTTTGAGTGACTGATCTGAACATCAAACCCCCATATTTTTATGTGTTTCTTTTAAACACTGTAATTCTAGAAGTAGAAAGTATTCGACAAAGTCAGGAAATAATATCAAAGAGCATAATGCACCTCATTTTTCCAACTGAACTCCCCGACAGAGTATTAACTACCTCACTAAGTCTTTCAAAATGGGCCATTAATGTTTAATTGATCAGTGGCCCATACTGTGTTTTGATTAGCCTCAGTGATGTCCAGGAAGTGATGACAAACCAGAGTTATCACCAATTAAAAAACAGGCGCCTGATTTGCAAGAAGAGACACAGCAACAGGGTGTGGAAGTTAATTACTTCAAAACCACACAAATGCATGCTGCAAACTTCCTACTTTCAACTGTTCAAACTACTGCAATTCTTTTGCAGGACTTCTCCTATCCCTCTTTCATCTTTCCCCCCTTTCAAATTATGCAATATGCTCTTATACCATTTGTCCCAAACACCATTTCACACAGCATCTACACACCTGCTACCTCTTGCCTGTAGTGCACAGCTCCTCACCTGAACCTCCTGTACATAACTCTTCCTTTTATAAAGCCCTGCTTCAGTCTTTCAGAGGAACTAAGCAAAAAAAAGAAACCAAGTACCTCCTAGTACATCACCCATGCCAGAGGAATGTACGTATTACTCCCATCTGGTACTGCTTGTATCTCCCTTCTCTCCTCTTATGTCTTTTTTTATAAGTACTTCAGCCCCTTCACCGCTTTCACCACTAATTTCTTTCTTAATTTTGCATACCAAGACTCAATACTGACACTTGTTCAATCCTCTGAACTTCATGCATTCAATTTCATTTCAGTCATTCTCCAGATCTCTTCACTCCCCCCACTTCCCCTTCGTGTCATTTATTGAGTGACTTCCAATTTCTTCTTATTAGTTTTCTACAAATTAAAAATTAAATCTTGTTCAGTCCCAATTCAGCATTTTCTATGACTCTGGCAAATAAGGACAGCTTCCAAGCAGTTTTAAAATTAAGGCTCTTGCTTATACATTTTGCTGAGTTGCAGTCCCAGTATCCAATTCTATTTTTCTATTCCCCAATACCCATTCTATTTTTCTGTCTTTCACCAATTTCTTCATTCCTAGATACAATTCTTTGCAGAGGCAGACAGGATGAATGACATCTAAGTGAACAAAGCTCAGCCATGCTATCAGCCACATCTAAATTATGATGTACCCCCAACTTACATGATCTACTCATGTCTACTAGACTCATGTCTAGTAAAAATCATAATTATGAATATTTCAGCAAAATGAATAATATAATCTGTCTCTCCTAATGAATTAGGAAAAAAAAAAAAACAAAACCAAATATCTGCCCTCTGAGTAATAAGGAAACTGCCACAGTTCTACCTTTGAAGTGGATACACTGTTAGTGAGATGAACTTCCAGAGTCAGACCTAGCACTACATTCACTGGAACACTCAAGCTGCCAGGCTCAGTAGATATGGCAGAGACAAACAGTAAGAGTCTATGTTAATTGCAGTGAAGACATAATCTTAAAAGTCTTGATCCTTCTCTAATTCCCCATCAGGCTTTTCCCTCCCTTTATCAAACAGTCTTTTTTTGCAGGCTGAATCTGGCTAACACTGTTATCACCATGCACACACTCCTTTCTGGGATTTCCCTCAGTCTTTAAATCCCAGATAATTTTCACTGATCTCCCACAGCTCTAGGCTTCACTGAGTATTGCAGCAGAAAAGCTACAGACACCACTGTAAGAAAGAGGGCAGAAGTGACACTAGAGGTGTGGGCAGTTCTAATTGCAATTAAATAAATCATAGCTTTTAAGTAAAGGAATTGTGAAGAGAGAGTGACTCTTCAGAATGAAGTGTATTACCAGACTGGTAATTATGTGGATAATTTAAACATTTCCAGAACCCTAGAAAGCATGACACAACTTCAAATATCTAGTTTCTCTAATAATTTGAGGGCAACTTCTTCCATCCCCCTGGAAGAATGCATAATTATTTTTCAGAAACAACACGTTTGGGAGTATTTGAAGTTTCTAACTTTTCTTCACACTGTTGCATCTATGACTGCCGAGGTCTTCTGTGGCCTTACCCTTAATGAAAAGACATTACTACTTACAAATCAGTGACATTCCCTCATCTACAACTTTTAAAGCTTATTGCTGCATACAGCTCTGTAGATGCTATTAGGTAGAAGAGGCAGCTGCCTCTTACAGAGGAACTTGTCACATGTGTCCCAGGGCACAAACTAGATGAAACATTTGCATTAGGGTAAAGGCCACATGGGTGGGTCCAGTGCAGAATATCAGCATCACAATGAAAATTTATTACATAAATTATGACTCATGTACCTTTTGAAAAACTGTATAATAATGCCTTCTGGGTTAAGTTTCAAAGCTTTCACTAAGCATATAAAACCACACTTGATACTTGATAATTTCCATATATTGGCACCATCATTAACTATGAACGCATGACTGTCAGCAGCCATTTCAGTTTTAAAATTGCTTTAAGGACATTCATGTGTAATTTGATGTCTTGGAGATGGTTTATATCCCATATCCATTTTTTATTTTGTTTTTATTTTGTATCTAGAATAGTCACTGCCTCCACTGGCTCTGGGAGTATCTTAATGGGTGAGGGACAGCCCGGGATCCTGCAGGGCTTGGGGGCCAGGGGCTGCTCTTCCTTCTGGTGGGGTTTGACACAGCTGCCAGGCTGCACCCTGCCTCTGACAGGATGTCTTGTTGCCCTGTGGTGTTTGACTGTTTATTTTCTTTTTCCTTCGGCACTGTGACTGGGGTTTGCCAGCTTGCTTTGCTGCTGCTCTGCTTGCTTGGGAGCCCAGCGCTGCACCAAGAGCCGGGAGCCTTCCCCACGGGGCTGTTCCCTTGTGCCAGTGCCCCATCCCGGGACCAACTATCCAAGGCAGGAGGCACTGCCTAACCTGTTTTCTGGCACTGCTTTGGGACTTTTTTGCTACATTTTAATGTTATTCCTTTTGTGTTATTCCTTTTTTCCATATCTTTGCCTAAAAGCCCTGTAATTTCAAAGTTAAAATAATTTGAAAAGAAGGGGGTCATATTTTCCATTCCAAGGGAGGTTCCCACCTTCCTTGGCAGACACCTGTCTTTCAAATCAAAACATTTGAATTAATATTAAATTGGCTACATTTTAATTCCAGATTAACAGAGGGGTTTTTTCTGCCTGAGAATAAATACTGCAATATGGTAAATATCTAATTTATAATGAAGCTCGGAGTTACTCCACTCCTGCTGTTGACTGCGTAATTTGTGTCACTGAGTTAAATCGTGACCATCTGGGACTAGCTTCCAGCAATGAACATTTGACCTCACATTTTTCACAGCCAAACCTACAGGTATTAGCATCAAGAATATAGTTAAAGCAAGTACATCTACCCCTAGATAACTTGAATTTTATGTACATTACTGAAGATAACAATTCAGTGGTTTACTTACGGGTCATATGTATTCTGTCTAAAGAGGGAACTTACAATCAAAAATAAATTGCTACATAAAAAACTATGGATGATTCATTATCTCAGGAAATAAAACTAAACCAGATTATCAGAGCTGAGGTTATGGAAACAGGCTTGAAAAAAGCTGGAAGTTTGAATTACTTTGGTATTTTTATTTCTTTAAGATTTCCTTGTCACCTTGGAAATTCTAACATTGAATATGAGGAAAATAGAATGATGATGTTAGTTCTGTCTATGATGACCGAATACCCACAAATCCTTATCTTAAGCAAATAGCTAAGGCTGTATGCACTGCACATTTCCTGCTGCTTCTCTGTTTTTCTTCATTCCTAACTCAATGAAGTCCAATTTCTCTTCCTCACACACATATACATGCAAAAAATAGGGTAAAGTGAGCAAAGAATAACATGAAAAGTGTTAGGCAGGGCAGGCATTTCCTTTGAGAAGAAAGATTACAATTAGATCAAACACAGATCTCTGGGACTTTTTGTGAAATGGTACCATTTCTGATTCCTCAGAGAATGAAAATGGGTTGAAGGTTAAAAATTCATGCAAGAGGAACATAGAATATTGCAACATTAATAAAATCTCTGGTCACCAAACAGTTATTTTACTGAATGAGCACACCTCATATCTTTACTAAAAATCTAGGCCTCAAAGAGAAATACAAAACAGAACAGAACTGTTAAAACTCAAATTAAATTATTAAATTATTATAGCTTTGGGGAAAAAAATAACAGAAAATATTTTTCAGTAGTGTTCTGGTTTTAACAACTTGCAAATTTAAAGCAGGATTATTTCTAAACAGCTTGCTAGAAATTATGTAAAAATCCACAGTGAATCACATCACCTAATGCAGCTTGTACACACCTCTTTTTCTTGATGTTTAAAGTTGGAGCATTAAAAATTTGCAGTCACAAGTCTATGTGTTTTGGTTAAAACAGATATTATTAAATTAGATTTAAATAAGAAAAAAAGCCCTCTGTATATCTTGAAAGTGATTTATCAACACTCCAAGCAGTGAGGCACTATATGGGTATAACTTAAAGAACGTCTGATTTAAATGTTTCTGCACAGCTGAGCTCTAAAAACAATAATTTGTTGTGCTATCTAGACTGATGAGAAGACAAGCCCTTCCATTTGCTGGAATAAGAAATAATCTATACTATTAAGCCAAAAGAGACTGTATCTGAACAACTACCTTTTTATTTTATACAGATACAGGAAAGGAAAAAATTAAAAGAACATATCAATACAGAATAATGAAAAATACTCTAAAATAAATGTATATCATACATAAGTAATTAATATTCTGCAATTGTTTGCCATACTTTAATCATCCTATTTCATGTATTTTAATGAAAATGCTATCATGCCTAAACAAAATTTAAAAAAAGTATCAATTGTTCTTGTGTTATGAAATTCACTACCTGCTACTAAAGGGACAGACATAGTAGAGCCATGGCCCATAGACTTGACTGATGTTTATAGTGGAAGGGCCTTTGATGTGTCTTTCTGATACAGATGAGGAATAGTATGCAATGGAATGGGCTTCAGATCACATACCAGAAAGTTATATATTCTTCACCTAAAAGAAAAGCCTTTCTTGCTCTTATTTCAGACTTTTTTTTAAAATGTGCCTTTTAAAAAAAATGGATATGACAGTCTTGATGGTAATAAATGAGAAGAATTGCAATAACACTGCATTTTTTTGTAAATATTATTATACAGGGCTTTCCCTTTGTATCTGCACAGATGCATATTCTGAGTAATAAAAAACATGCCAGAACTATCTTCAGATACACATTCTCAACATTCTGCTGTTTGATAAACTTTCACAAAACATATGTCTCAAGTCTTTTTTTGTTTTGCAATTGCAAAAGCTACAGATAACTGTTCCTCTTTGTCTGTTAATTACACAAATCTAAGATTGAGCAAGAAATATTTTGTGATACGCTGACACTGCTGAATATTTTGATAAATTGTTCTATTAGATTCTGTGCTTTCAGACCTAACTCTGAAAGTGAAGGTTTGTTTTGCCTTCTTATCAGCCAGTTCACCTCCCCCCATGGTCTGCTGTCTAGAAGAGGCTGGTGCTGGCTGGCTTGCTTTGCTTGCTTGGCTTCCTTGCTTTGCTTGCTTCTGCTTTTGCCTTTGCTTCCTAGTTAGTTTAGCTAAGCACTCCAATTCTTTCCCTGGACTGTTTCCTTTAATTTCCTTTCCTTTTCCTGAATACCATCCAACCTACTCTGGACTGGGACCTGGAAACACTGAGGAACACCCAGAGCCTGTGCTCTGTGATCTGCAGCAGCCATTCCCAGTGCCCAGAGCAATCCCCAGTGTCCAGACCCGGGCGACCACTCCCAGGAAAGACTTTCTGGATTTGTTCATCTCTTCAGAGTGGTGAAAGAGTTTTGTTGTCATCTGGTGTTGTTAATTTTCTTTTTGATGCTAGGGAGTTCTTTGTTCCTTAAATAAACAAGTTCTTTTCCACTTCTCTCAGAGAAAACTTTTTCCAAAACCAGGTGGGTGGGGGGGGGGGCGTGGGGGGGGTTGTTTTCTGAGGGCCCCTTCCAGAGGGTTTTCCCCAAATCTGCCCTAAACTAGGACACAGGAGAACCCAGAAACATAAAGGAAACTGTCAAAGTAAACTTCTTGTATCCTGTCCTTAAAAATTGCCAAAACACAGGTGTTTCTGAGGGATGCAGGAATATCTAAGCAGCAGGGCAAATGTAAGGTGATGTGCAGGCTTTTGACATAGGTCTGAAATGCCTTGATAGAGCCTGCACAAAGCTCTCACTCATCATCTCCTCCCCCCTCTTACCAGCAACTAAGAAACATGGGCACTGTCTAGTGATGCCTAAGAGATATTGCAATGTGTGTTCTTCCAGGAAGACATTCTCTTCCCTATAAGGCATTTTCTCTTTTCTCCAATGAAGAGAATTCACAGAGAATAATCTGTCTCACAGCTATCCTCCATTTTGGGAAGTCACACTCTGCCAGCATGGATATGCTGCAGGACTGAGCTAGTAATAAATGGTTCATTTTCTGAAAGCTGAGCACTGTGAGAACCATAATGTTCTTTATATCCTATGACTTTAAAGAATTATGTCTATTATATTATTTATATCCTGCAGTTTCAGTTATAAATTATTATGATAAAAACCCACAAACCACTATCGCAACTATATTAATCAGATAGTAAAGGAGCAGATACTTTAAGAAATATCTTTAGACATTTTCTTTAGTGGAAAACCCATACTTTGCAGGCCTCCATATGATGGGGATAAGGCTGCCCATACCAGTTTGCTGACAGCAGAATATAAACACAGAGTTCATTGATGTGTCTTATGTGATCAACATGATGTACATGTTTCATTGGCAGGTTTCAGCATCAGAGGTAATGAAAGACTTTTGAAGATTTAACAGAATTTTTATACCGTGTAGTGCAAGCAAGACCCCCTCAATAATACAGCTTTCAAAGCAACTAGATCTGCTGGGTTTTGTTTGATTTTAATATTAATGCAAATTCCTATTCAACCTAGAAGTCAACAGCAGATTTGAATAATTTTCCTTTTATTCTTTAAGATATTTTTTCCATGAAACTTTTTTGAGCATGGAAAATAATGGAATTAATTTTCTGTGGACTGTCATGGTAATTCAGGTCAGAGTACATCCGTCCTGCATTCTCTTTGGAATGCTGTAACACTGCAGTGAGCGACATCAGTTGAAGCACTGAGCAGTCACAACTACAGGTGCTGCCACTGACAGCTGTGTCTGCTTGAAAATATGAACAGCCATAGCAACAAATACAAATACATACAATTCTTAGTTAGGAAAACATGTAACTAAGACTTTTGTGCATGTTCAACAGTAAACAAAGCATTTGAGTTCCACAATAAACTGAAACATTTATTTTTGATAAGTCTTATTTTGGCTTTCTGGAGAATAAGACTAGTTTGTTTTTTCACAATTTACTAAAAATACTTTTATCTTAGCATTTACCCAGGCCTGTCAGAAAAATTTGCTACCTTCAGTTACAGTTTCTGTATTTAAAAATTGTCTACAGGTACATTCCTCTTAGCAAAAGAATTGTCAAAGAGATACTGCATTCTGAACAGCAGGTTTTCAAGTACTGATATACCTCCAGCTTCCTGAAATACAAATCACAATTTTGAATCATTAAGGTTGCAAAAGACTCAAAATTATAGAGTCCAACCTTTGACAGAACAACCACCATATCAACTAAACCATAGCAGGGAGTGCCAAGTCCTGTCTTTTCTTGAACACTTCCAGGGATGATGACTCCATTTCTCTGGCAAGTTCCAATGCACAACAACCCTTTCCATGAAGAAATCCTTCTTGATGCCCAACCTGAACATCCCCTGGCACAGCTTGAGGCCATTTCCAGTATTTATTTCCTTGAGGCCATTTCCTGTATCTATGCAAAATTAGTCTTAACACTGAAAGTAGACTGTGCTTCAATTTTCATCAAAGCAGTGAAATATTGGAAATAATTTATGAATGCCATGTCCAATCCTACTAGATTTTACTCTTCTATTCATTCAGGAGGATAAACTGTTTCATTATTCAGTGAGCTTACAGCATTTTAATGCAACCTTAATGGTATTTTCCCAGCTATCGGAAAGAATACTTACTTTCGTCTTTCTGCCTCAAATTTACTCAGCAGTTTCCGGAGACCACCATTCTTAAATCCTTGGAAATGTGCAGCTGGGGCTCCTACAGTGATAACATCATACAGAGCATCTAGAATGGGAATAGAGAAACACAGATATTTGAATGCTTCTATCCCCAGGTCATGGCAACACTGTGACATCTACTCCACAAAAAGTAAGGATAAGTCTTTATCATTTCGAGAAAATAATTGATAATCCATGTCCCAAGAAGGCCCAAGAGCTAATCAATCTTTCTATACAGCCACCTACACACTTTAAAAAGTTAATTGGATTTATGGCTATATCTAAATTATGTGCCACAGTGCAGAACAATATTCCAGCTCTGCAGTTTACAAAGCTGCCAAGTAAATTGGCCCGTTGTGTATTTCATTTTATTGCCCCTTTCATTATTTAACTTGTAGTCATGTTGAGATGCACAGATTCAAGCATTTTAGGGTCAAAAGAGACCACTATGATGGAATAGTCTGACTGAATAATAGAGACTACAGAATTACAGCTAATAATTCCTGCCTCAAGCTTGTCTCTTGGTTGAGTGAAGGCATCTCTTTGTTTAGGCATCTAATCTTGATTTAAAGATTGCAAGTGACAATGAATTCACTGCATTCCCAAAGAAGTCAATCAGACTAGTAAAAATCCCTATTTCTTTTCTAGTTTGAATTTGTTTATATGTAATGCTACTGTACTTTCAGATATTAGCGGTGTTTAATGCTAAATTGGTGAGCCCTGCTTTATGACATACACTAATTTTTTACATATGTTTATAAACACAGAGAAAGTAAGTTTTTCTCAGCTGAGAAGCTACCAGAATAGGAAATAAACCATACAAATTAAATTCTTGCCGTGAAAACAATCTGTTGTCTCTTTCTGTATATACCTGATGCCTTATGACATAGGGGATTTTTGTGTGGATGTGTACTTACAGAACTGGAGGTGAAACATCAGTTTTCAAAGAGCTTGTGATTGATTGTCAGTGCAGAGATGAAGATTTAATTCCATCCCACACCACAATAATTATTTCTTCTAAGTTTAAATTTATGTTTACAGTAACTTGAGGTATGAAAATACAGTTCAGAATGCCTCATTCTTAAAAGGTATTTCTAAAGGAAACATTACAGGATGTTTTTTGAGAGCTGTTTTATTCATCAAGGAAGTTTCCCATGTAAATTAAAATCTAGACTCCTCCTAAAATAGAACTTGCATTCTGATGATAAATATCCCTAGAAGCATGAAAACTGTACAAATGATTCACAGTTAATGAACTATGCTTTACTTCCTGAGCTGAATCTCAGAACATATTTGCTCAAATTGATTTGAGCTCTAATGAGTTGGTGACTCTTCAATATCCACTTAAATGGAGAAGTGACTTGGTTGCATTAGCCTAAGGTGAGCTTCAAGATTCTTAAATAGCCCATTCTTTCCGGTCTTAATAGAGATTTATCCATAATACATATTCTTCAGTTGTTAGAGTTCCACTGGTACTTGACAATAAGGAGTTCTATTGCTTAAAACAGCAGTGGCTTGAAATCAAGATAAGAGATGAACTCATCAGGGCTCTGAATATGTTTAGAGATAAGTCATGAAACAACAGGAAAACATTTAAAAGACTAAACCCAGTTCTGACTGTTTTAAAAATAGACATGACCCTGTTTATAGCTACTTTGTGAGGCAGGGAGGATTTATCCAGAAGGGAGCCTTTATTCAGCCTGTGGTCTCTTCTCAGCATGGTCGAGGAGCAGATGAGACAGAAACACACCCAGCACAGCTGAGCACCTGCCTCACACAACCCACATGGGAGAGTGAGGATAGAAAAGGATGAGGAGCAAACATCCACACCTGGTGATGGGCACAGGGCAATCTCACTCCCATTTCCCAGAGCACAGTGCAGCAGAGAGTGCTGCATGGCTTGGGAGGAATGTCTTGTGATGTGCTCTACTTACACCTCAGTGGAGCTCCCTGTTAAAGACATGCAGTGTCAGCATCAGTGCACTGCTGCAGGAGTGCTCCAGTAACTCATAACCATCAAGCAAGAGCAGGTTACGGCTGATACCCCTCTGCAGTGAAAACAGAGCTTAAAATGCAGCAGAGCACCACAGGAGTTGTATCTTATTATCAAGAACAGCTCAATCCCAATTTTGAGTCAACCTGCTTGCTTCCACAGGAGGCAGTCAGTGTCTTAAACTGGCCAGATGCAAAACAAAAATCAATGCACCAAATCTATTTAAAACAAGCACATATTGTTAACAGGAACAAAAGCAAAGCTATGTCAATATATAGATTTAAGCTCCCTAGTATGATGAACAGAGCATCATACATTTGTGTTTATCAAATGGATAGGGATATCATTGACTCATAGGAAAACAGTATTTTCCTCAAAGCTATTCCCACTGAAAGTTTAAGCACACTTTCTCTTCCATGTCAGTACCCAATAACAACCCAAATAAAAGTTCAGGAAAAGTAAACCTGTTCTTATACATGTCAAATCAATGTCAAACCAAAAAAACACGCACCAATGTGTATATGCAATAGATGGGATTAAAACCTATCTTTCATTCCCAAAATTAAGATATCTGATAGTGGATCATTAGCTTGTTTAAATGCCACCTCTATGAATATTTATTCTCCCCATTCCAATGTCATTCTCCTCATTATATTCCAGGTGTCCTTTGATACATGCCAAGCAAAGCATGAGCTGAGAAAGACCAACAATGTTCAAGTGCTGCTACTCAGATTGATTAGCAATTGCTAGAAACTGTTCAGACTGTATATATCTAATACAAGACACAGTGAACATTAGTTAAGCAATAGAGGCAGAGTTTTATAATTTAAAGATCCAAATTTAGAAGACAACCAGAATAATTCTAGCATTTATCTCTTTCTGTACACTTTTTGATTATGGATTAGCCATGTGCCCCAAGCAAAATGGCTTTGGACAAGGAAAAAAAAATCATAAAAAACCAAACCAAAACTCCAGTACTGTAAAAGTTGTGGGTGCTTAACTAAGTCAACTATTTCATTCTATTTTTCTTTTTATTTAGCAAATAGATATACAGTGTCTTGTTCACAAAGAGTTTTTCTTGAAAAGATATTATGTTAAGCTTCTGGCCACCATTACAAACCTAAAAACCCTTTCGACTTAATTAACTTTAAAACATTAAATTAAAATCTGTGCTATCACATTATGTCACTATAAATTCCCATCTTGTTGAAATATTTGGAGGCAGAGTCTTTTAGTAAAAGAAATAACAAAATATTGAACCAAGCAGTATTGACAGATAATTGGAAGCCCCTGTGTCCCAACTTAGCAGTGGATGAACATCAGCCTCATACAGTATAAAACAGGAGTTGTACCATTGTTTGTACTTACTGTTCAACAATCTTAGATGCAGAGTGTATTAATAAGGCAAAAACCTTACAGAATGTAATTTATATGTTTGTAGTGACAGCAAATTTAACAGATCTCAATTTATCAATAAATTATTCACTGTGCCATGATTTGGTCATATATATTTATCAGTATAATCTTTGATCTGTAAAGGAAGCTGCTAAAATCATATGCAAGTGGCAACAACAGAATTCTGTCTTAAAAAGAACCACAGATGAAGTTACAGAAAGTAATCCCCCTTTCCAGAAGCTGTTGGAAGTTTGTAGTATTTTCAGCATAATCAGTAACGTATTTTCACTTAACACTGAGCAAATGCTTACATGGGTAGGTGGGCATGGCAGAGCAGCACTGCTTAAGCATATTTAGAATCAAGCAGTGCTGGGCTAATTACAACTTCCTAAGAAATAGGTTAAATTAAGTTTAGAAGTAATACTGTCCTTTATGGAACCATGTAACTCCCATAACCTGGGCTGGTGAGCTCATCCCAGCAATCTCTGTCAGGAAAAGTACTGTATTGTGCTCTATCCCTATCTCTGGTTGCAAACTGGTGGGGATGGAGTGGCACGGGGGCAGGGTGGGGAGAAGAAAAGCCACATTAAAACAAGAGCATTAAGTCTGTCTTTTATAGCATTATGGATCACAATGAAAAATAAAGTGGGTGCCAGAGAAGGACAGGAATCTTACTGAGCATTGTACAATGTGTAGTGACATATCACGACAGTATTAGTTCTGCATCCTACAACAGAATATTTTTAACCATGCATAGGTTACTAATACATTTCAGTGAGCATATATTCGGCATTTATTTATTTTCCTGAAGCGTCATAGGAACAAAATGAGCACATCCCTGGAACCTATTTTTAGAGAGGAACTTAGAAGAAATTTAGTTAACCAACCCTTAGTTTTCCAAGATCTGCAGTAAATGTCCACAATTTGTGGCATCAGAAGATGAGGCAGGGAAACTCCTTACAGAACTTTGACTTTGGACATGATTTCTAAATTCCAGTATAACTGTATTTCAAAGCACACTTTGTCATACTTGGGGAGTTTCTTTACCTTTCAATCGAGGACTATGCACATGCATTCTTTGCAGATGAAGATTTATTGGGATGAATTCTAGTGTTTTTTCTCCTTTGCTACAGCTTGACTTAAAAGAAGAACCTGAAAAACAAAAGTTTAAAGAACATTGTCTTAAGCACCTGTGGCAGTAGATCTCTGGCCATAGAGAACAGGCACAGACTTTCCCAGGCACTTTCCCAGGGAAGGCTGAGAAGATCAGAAGACAGAGTGAAAAACAATCCTTATCTCCACTTGCACCTGCTGTTGTGCACATGTGAAATGTGTCATAGAGATTTGCTTACCAAAGTGTAATTTCTTAATTAAACACTGGATGATGTTTGGATTGATTGACCAATTAGGTCAAAGCTGAATCAGATTAGCTGAAAGGGTTACTGAGTTTCTTAATCAATATAGTATAATATAAGATGATATAATTAAACAATTAATCAACCTTCTGCAATCATGGAGTCATGGAGTCAATAGTAATTATTACCCAACTGAAAACCTACAGCAACAAGCACCCAGATGTTTTTGTATTGCTTTTAAAGCAAGGATGATACTTGAGTGTGAGGAGTTCTTTAATTTACCTTCAACATGTAATTGTATATTACGAGATGAAAGGTTCACTAACTGAGTCTCAGCATGTATCCATACTGGAAGCAACAAACCAGCTTTTAATTCACAGAACAACCCATTTTTTTTTATTCTAGGAGATAAATACTTTTCCCTGCTGTCTGAAATCAGTCTGCAGTCTGCTGGAGACAATGCAGCAGTTAATGTGCATTATGTTTATTCTGTGCTAAAACCTCAAGGTTACAGAGCTATGATGGCACTGCATTTTTCCAAGTAACATTTTTTTCTTCAAAGAAAAGTATTATATTGAATAGGATATGCTTTCTTCCTAGAAAGCTCAAATAAAGAAAGACAAATTATCTTAAGGAAAGCTATATATTTGTTCACAGGAGGCATGATACTTGGAAAAACAAAACAAAACAAAATTAATATGCCCGCATATTTCAAAAGCATGACATTATGAGTAGTTTTAGGTAGTGTAAAGGAATATAATTAAAGTCTGACAGTGTGAAAATATAACTTACCTGAAGATATTTTATACAGAATCTGTATAAAATAAAAGGGTCTAGATTAGGAAAGAGAAGTGCCCTTGTCTTCTAACTCAGGCAACCCAACATTTACCTAGGCCACTTTTTCAACACCCTATCATTTTGCCAACTGTTAATTATTAGAACTAAAATTCCACTCATTCCGATAGAATTCTTAAATAAATTTTTCAAGGTTCAGCCTTTTTTTGAAACAGCCATACAAAAAGGTAAAGGAAATATTTTAAATTGTTTTTTGCTTGCTCAGTCAAGACTTGATAGTGTTTATCTGCTGAAAGTGCCATAGTTTCCAGCAGGACTAAGCACTGAGCCTCTCAATATAAATCACTCTGCCAGAGGGCACTAATGATGCTCCAGGCCAGCCAAGCCTGCTTAGGCTGCTCCCTAAGCTTAGGATTATTTATTTAATAATAAATAAATCCTTATTTATTATTAAAATAATAATTTAATACAGATGAAGAGCAAAGCCTGGAAGAAAAGCAATTCACAGGAGTCAAAATTTTAGATTAGACAGGAAACCCCATGATGCAGATTGAAATCAGGAGCTGTTGATGATGCATCTGAAAAACACAGGCAATTAGGGAGGTAGTAAAGGCAACTCAAACTATCAGAAAAGAAATGAGAATAGTGCAGGGAAGGAGACTGTAAGCAATTTGGAAACAGAACAGAAGGTGGGAAAATTATTTCTGAGAATTCAGCTGAGACCAAGTTCAAAGCTTAAGGATTGATAATTGGACCTGAGACAAGGAGACACTGGTTGAACAAGGGGAGCATACGACAGCAAATCAAAAGGACAGGTGAAAGAAGAGTAGGAAGGAGAAGAGCCTGATCTCAGGAGTACAATTCTGCCTCGAGCAGGAGCACAAGATATGCAGCACTGCTGAGTTATGTTTTTCCTTTTTCAGGGAAGACCTGTGAAGCAAGTATCCCTTCCCATCCAGTGCCAGAAAATTACTGGATAAGGACCACCCAGCTGCTATCAGCCACTAGATTTGCTCAGGTATGAGATCCAAGTGGTGGAATTAACATCTCAAGCTGCATTTACCATAGCATCCATACAATAAAACTAACTTTAAGTATAGCCTATTTTTAAGTAACTTCTTAAATTTCATTTCAGAACTAAAAAAAAAATTATATTCCCTCAGTTAATACAGCTCTTGTTATTATTGTTCCAAGATCAAACTCTTCAAGGTTAGGAAATACCAGACTATAGATGCAACTTCCATCTGACATCCACACGAAGAAGAACTGTGAAATGGGCTTCAATAATATATCACGTATGAGCTTTTACCAGTTCGTTGAATGTTCAGTGTCTTCGCTGCTCATTTTAAAAGCAGTCATTCAATATCTTGTTTCCAACTTTAATTTCAATATTTATTCAGGATTTTAACATGTTGCTCAAACCTCCTTCAAAGTCAAGGTTATCAATTTCCTCAAACCTACCTACTATATAAGTATTACCAGCCTCTAAGGACTTTACAAATTTTTATAAAATAATTTTAACTGGTTGAGTTATAATTTCACCCATCCTAATATCAGAGAATAAACATTTAAGAAACAATGCAACAATATAAGCTATGGAAGAACTTGTCCTGCAGAACACTCACTATAATGCAAAATCACATTCCATTTTGGAAGAACAGCTCCCATTGGGCTGAATTGCATCCATAAGTACCAAGCACTTCTGCAATACAACTTGAGTCTAGTGCCAGGCTTCCATAAAAGAACACACTAACCACTTCTCAAGTCTGACTTGCCTACATAGGAACTTTGTGACAGAGGCAGGGATAATGTCCAGTTTTTGAGAACAATGTTCAATTGCCTTAGCCTTGACTGTCTTCTTTCCCCCTTCTAGGGCTGGATGAATAATAGATTTTTCTGTTTGATGACTGAAACAGAGAAAAAAGTAAATTGGGTGGGTAGGAGAAATCATCTGGGGATGATTTCAGGTCAAACTGAAACAAACAAATAATTTTCAAAGTTCCACTTCCTCCCAATATCACCAAATCTGTGGTTTAGATTTACCTGAAATTACTGGGTTTTTTGTTTCCTAACCCTTATCTTCCTGATATGTTTTCTTACAACAAAATGCTTTATGTTCTCTAAAATTCTCCCATTACTGAGGATAAAAGTGTTTTCCAAAACAACTCAAATCTGAAATAGTCTTAACTTTCTTAAACATCTATTTTCAATAAATTGCTGTCTAACACTAATGTGGTTTCCTCATACTTCCACAGTAATCTCTCAATTTCAAAAAGAAGTTAAGTGGTCTCCTAACAGCCTTCTCAACTAAATTGCACAAATAGTTTGGTTCAGTTGAAGTGGGTATCACTCAGAAAGCCCAACTTGAGATTGTGTTGGGAAAGTATAAAAATATTTTGGAGAAATTTTATTTGAAGGTTCTATCTGCCCTTTTGAACACTTCAACCTAAACTCAGGCAATATTCTAAGATGAAGAAAGACACCTGCACTGGCTTTTTTTGGCATATCTTGAAATATGTTGACCTGAAAAGTCTGAATTAAAGTTGTGCTCACATCCCTAATCTTAGCAATTTCTACTTCATAAGTACTTGAATTTCAAGTAGCTACAATATGCTCCCAACATAACTATTTGTGCAACTACAGTATTAAGTCAAATCTATGTCTGGCTTGCTTTTCTAATCAAAGACTATAATCTTGGTTTTTGAAGCTATAAAGTGTACTGTTTATAGAGAAGAAATGAACAAATTTTCACCTTGTCATTATTTCTTATTTTTGCTACAATTATTAGGTTGCTTTGTTTTCTGATAAATGTCCATTCTCTTTTGTATGTGCTGATTCGCTCCTCCTGGATAATCTCAGTTTGCCAGGTCCACTTTATTTCTCTCAATACCCAATTAAGATGGGTCCTTTAATATTATAAACCCTTTAGAAAGTCAATTTGCACAATACAGGTCTTGCAGGGTTTATGTTTAATAAATTATGTTGCCTATATTTTTTTAATCACAAAATGTCCTTTCAATATCTTCCTGCATGTTATAATTATTACATTGGATCCTTCATTATCTGTATTTATTGGCTTGTTTATGATACTTCATGGAGTGCTTTCAAGATTAATTAGCCAGACTGAAAATACATATATATATTATTTAAAACAGAATCACAGGTACTGTCTTAGTGGGTTAGACAGTAGCTGCCAAAATTGGAACTGGGATAGTCTGATGATGGTAAACAATCATAAATACAAGAAATGTCAATTTTGCAAACAAAATGGAAATTATTATACAACATTTAGTGCAACACATGAGCTTTTTTCCCCCAACAAATATTTAAACAGTTGGCCAACTGCTTTCAAAAAAAGCTTACTTTCAGTTAGAGAGTGGTTTTTCTTCATACAGTAAAATAGAATTTCTCTTTTTCTGTGACCAAGAGTCTCTGCATCTAGCTCTGGACTCCCAGCACAGAAGGGACATGGACCTGTTGGACTGAGTCCAGAGAAGGTCACAGAGATGCTTATTGGAATTGTTCAACCTGGAAAAGCAATTTCAGGCTGACATAATTCCAACCTTTCAGTACATGGAGGGCGCTTATAAGAAAGCTGGAGTGGGACTATTTACAAGATCATGTGATGACAGGACAAGGGGGAATGTATTCAAACAGAAAGTGAAGAAATTTGGATTAGACATTAGGAAGAAATTATTTAATATGGGGGGTCGGGGGGAGGTGAGACAGTGGAACAGGTTGCCCATAGTAGCTGTAGATAGCCCATTGCTGGAAGTATTCAAGGCCAGGCTGGATGGGAGTTTGAGCAACCTGGTCTAGAAGAAGGTGTCCCTGCCTGTGGCATGTGGGTTAGAACTTGATAATCTTTAAAATCTCTTCCAAGTCAAACCATCCTTTGATTCTAAGATTTTTATGTATTTTATTCCTTCTGCATATGCCAGTATTTCATAGCTAACAATCTAGTAAATTCTTAAATGTTCCAGAAAAAATCACAGATTCCTACCTGTATGCTTCACAAGCTCTGCAAGAGTGTCCTGGTACATGCTCAACATCTGATCACAGTGAGCAATTACACTTTTGCGCATGTTGTCCCAATGAGGAGCAAGTTCTCCTAGGTCTTTAAGTTCCTGATTCCTGTACCAAAAAGCAAAAAGAGAAGGCACTAATTAATTCATTAATCCATTAAGATTAATCCAAATTAATCTAAAACAAGTTTGCTACAGAACATCAGGAAGATTTCCTAATTGAAACAAAATATGTTTTCAGAATGCTTGTAAGATCTCCTTTTCATCTCTGTTTTACAAGTACACAATAAAGTATGTCAGTAGATAATGCAGTAATTTTTGTTTTCAAAACTCATCTGGTATAAACGCAGTAACCTTCAAAATGAAATACTATTTCTTTCATGGAGGAAAAAAGGCTTCCGGTCTCTAGAGAGCTGTGCTAAAAGCAAGTAACTTTTCGTGAAGAAATATTAAACACCATTGGAAAGAATACAAAGTTTGCTTTTATCGCAAAACTTTCAGTATACCTGTTTGGATGCACTTCATAAATACTTCATAAAAATATTTCTAGCAGTGTTTCTACAAAAGTCAGTTTAACCAACACACCAGCCTTCACCACATTTCTTCAGCAGTCAAAACAAAACATACACACAAAAAACCCCCTGACACTAGTTCCCTAAAATGTCATGTCCAGCCTTACAGTGTTCATCAGGTCAAAACAGTAGTGCTATGGTAACCAAGCGCGTCACTGGAAATCCAAAAGGAAATCCTTTACTAAATTATCACTTTTCCTGTACATTCTTGAGAGCTGACCTGAGTGAAATAGAGATAATTTGAATTTCCTGCACAAACAAGCTCAGTATCCTCGGCTTTCTGTTTGGTTTTTCCTCTTGCAGAGGAAGTTTCTCCTGTATCTCTCCCAAAACCCCTTTGTGGGACCTGCTTTTAAGGAAAATAAAAGATCTTGAGTCAGTCTTCAAACATCTGGAATTTTGCAGGATAAAATGTCTGCATCACTACCAGTTTTCATAATTTTCTTTGGAATATCAAGAACACTGTTTCACTGCAATTCTTGTAAGTCTCCAAAAAAACTTCCAGAGTACAGCTCTTGCATACAGAAAAATTACAGAAGAAAAATAAAAAATGGGGGATAAGGGGTGGAAGAGTGAGGAAAAGACCAGTGAGCCTGCAGAACAGGAACATAGAGCTCATTTATGTGAGTATTAGATCTGACCATTAGTCAAAAAGTCTTAAAATTATTTCTTAAACAGAACAACACTGGTGATGTTTTCCCCATCATTATTAGCTTTGCATTAGTGTGAACAGTATCAGAATAAGTTCCATAGGCATAACTCTGTTCCTGGTGTAGATAACAATCAAAACCAAACAGACTGCACTGGAAGTGGAATTAAAGCATTTAATTTATACACGTTCTTGAAAATAGCAACATGGAAACAAAGATTACAACACATTAACTTGCTGACAGTTTATGTTAATGATAATATTACTTTTTGCCATTTAATTGCTCCTGAAACTGAACCAATTCAACTTTCTTCCAACAATACAAACTGGCAATGTTGTAGCATATGACTAATCTGCCATGAAGGGATATGAAAGGATAAACCCAACACTGTCAGTTACCATTTTCTTGACAGTTTTTAGCAGTTTAATGTGAGGTGTCCCTTTTAATTAAAATCTTAGGGCTTCCTCCTCAAAAAAGTGTGTAAAATTTGTGATGGTATACAATTTTGTTTATGTGCAGGGATAATTTTTTGGCCCTTAATATTTATGGTGTCTGATTTAATAGTTTTAGCAACAATGTTTGGACCTGGCTGGCTTCTAAAACTTCACTACTCCTTCTGTATAGGAATACAGTATTCTATCCAAGAACTATACTCCCGCCTCTATCTAAGCTCATGCCTGGAGCTGTTGGTCTCAAACTGAAGTTAAATAACAACAATAATAGAAAACTTCTATCTCAGACTAAAACATTCAACCAAACCCAAAAACTTGTTTAACCAGCTGACTATGAGTTAACTCCACTGACACCAAATAGCAATGGGAAGGGGGGAAGGGGAAACTCAAATCCCTCAATATTAATTTTAACAGGTTTTCAAGAAATACCAAATCCTGCCCCCATTCCTGGTGACGTGGTTGGTATTTGTTTCCTCTCAGAAACATGTACAAATCACTGAAGTAAAATTTCAGTCTTCAATATGTTACAAAAAAGACACATCAACAATGCTTAAAGTAAAAGTACAGTGTTATAGCAATCTGGAGCATATGCAGCATGCAAAATTTAAAGACTACATTTTCTGAATTTAATTTCATTTTAAAATACAGCAAAATCAAACCCATTAGAAAACAGGATTATATGACAGACACTTCCTCAGAAAATACACTTCCTCACTTTATATCTTTATTTCTTTTTCGAACGGAGTTATAGAAGACAGAGGATTGAAATAGGACTTATGTCATGTGATTTTTTTTTACAGTTTGTCATTGCTGTTGTTGACTCAATACAATTCTGAGTTATGGATGAAAAAAGAGTTGTCTTTTCTATATCTAAACTCTATCAACAATACTCGAAAGTACCAAGTTTTATTATCACTACATAATAGGCCTTTTCTAAAATTAAGCAGATTTAATTTGTTAAAGTTCATAGTTTTAATTTAATTTTAATTTGTGAAAGCTCATAGTTCATATCAATACTCACAATTTTTGAATTTTTAATAATATTTCAATACTTTTAGGTTAACTTATTTCATTGAATAACTTTAAAAACACACCTCAACTAGTAATTGTGTCAAACAACAACTGTGCTATAAAAAAATTAATCTTTATAATACATATTGGTTCTACAGAGGGCAAATCAGTTACTGATCCAACATGTCAATGCATCCATGGAACTCTGAATAGCTTGTCAACTGAACAGGAAGCTTACAGCAAACTCTGTGTTGTCAAAATTTATCATCTCATCTCCCCACTCTAAATCGTCTTTCAAAGTCTTTTCCAAGTAATTGCTCTCGTCACTGTGACAGATCTTGTGTTCTGCATCAACCTATGCCCATCTTACAGAATGAAATCCAAGCTTTGTCTAGAGCTGTTTATATTTGGCTTGCTATTCAGCTCCTCAAACTACCTACTGAATAGTCTTTTCCATCACTGCCCAATGGAAACCACCCAAGAACACGTCTGAACTTCCACTGTATCCTGCCTTCATTAATCACCCACATTCCTTGGTGGCCTTGGCATCATCTTCACCTGTTTGCATCTAACCAGAATGTGGATGTAAACAGTCTGCCCCATTCCTCTTTCTCCACCTTAAATATTAGCTAATTAGCTAATTTTTAAGTCTGTTTTAGTACATTTTGGTTATCACATGCATTCTTTCCTTTGGTAGACTATGTTAGAAGTCCATTATCAAGAAATGGCTGAGAACCCAAGGCTCAGATTCTATCTTTGATTTACCAAGTCATGCTATTTTATGTTTGAGAATACCTTAGGTGCATGAATATAGTAAACCACTAAAAGTACCTGAAAGAGACAATGAATTTCCTGTATGATTCATGCTAGTAATTTCTACTTAAACAGCTCCTGCTTTGTGCCACACATTCTAATGACAATATAACAGAAAAAGACTTGTTCATCACTTTAGATACAACAGCTCAGAAGTCTGAAGGAAGCATATACAGTGCAAAAATACAACCTCCTGATTTCTGTAAGGAGTACTTTGAATGAGTGGCATGCATCATGTTGCAAAACTATTTGAAGGAAGTCCCAATATTGAAATCATGTTTCTAACAAACTTGTTTCTGCAAGCTCAGAACCACCAACAGTCCAGACACCATTGCAGACTGTACAGTGAAAACGTGTGGTCAGTGACAATAAATCAAAATATGTGTTGGCCTACAGCTGGCCAGTAGGCCTCACAGTATAAATAATTCCAACTTTATAACTGAAATATATGACTGATTATATAATTATCTTACTTATATAATTTGACCATTAAGAGTAGGCTCAGGCCACTGGGGACTTTGGCTGCTATTGGCTGGTTAACCAGGAGGTAACTGGCTCAGCCAGTGAGGATTAACCTCATGGGCTCCTTATGTATATAAGTGTTATGTGTAGTAAACACAATTTGCGCCATTCCTTGTATGAAATATGTAACATTGGATACTTGTTAGATTATGCCCGTTTGTATTAGTTCCCCCCCACCTTTGCAGGCGAGACTGGGTGTATATTGGAAACTGATTTACAAGTAAAAGGATGTGGCTCGGCCAGGAGATGGGCCATGTCGAGACTCCATGGGACTCCAGATGTTGATCATCAGGTGCTGATCATCGCATAAACGGCCCAAGATGGATACAATGGAAATCCTCAGACAGATCCATGTGAATGCAGCGTTCCCATAAATCTCATCAGGGATTCACCTACTCCAGACACTGAATTATTCCTCCTCATCACCAAAAAAGAAAATCTTATTAACCTATAGACTCTGAATAGAAGAAAAGACTGATTGCTGAAATCTTGGCCTCAGGCAGAATTTTCCCTATAAAAACCACTTGCGCCAGGATGGAGGTGTGTGGGCATAGGGGAGAACCTCTGCTGAGGCTGACTCCTTGTTGTACACCCAGGGCCGACCCCAGGCTCGGCTCTGTCCTTTCTGTGTGGCTGGCTAGATAGAATTTGACCGCCAATAAAATTATTTTTTATTTTTAATCTGACTGAATAAATTCTCATTTATAACATAAGGAAGTGAGATCTCAATGAAGTTGGCAGTTGCTGCATGACCACAGAGTGTCAAGTCACCTGTCTCCAAAACTCTGACAATTGGTGACCCCAACATGATCACAAGAGCTGTCACCAATAGAGTGGGAAGACAGGGCAGCCAAGAGGAGCTGCCTGCAACCTTTGAGCTGCAAAGAGCAGCGTCCAGCACCACAGCAAACTATGAGCAGCTGCCCTCAGCCTTTGAATTGTGAAGACTGGTGCAGAGAACCATGATCAGTCTGGACCCACTGCTTTTTTTCCTCTTATTCTTTCTCTTTTTGTAGGTGGAAGACACCGCCAGCATAGGAGCAAGGGCTTTGACACCAGAAGACCCCATCTTGTAAGGGGATCCTATTT